CCCGACGCAGGCACTGGGGCTCCCCCCGCGCCCCCCCGCCCTGGGCTCAGGGTGATACACACATTCAGGTCCACTGGCGTCTGTCTGCAGTCAGGCCGCCAGCCTGGGGGTACGGGGCATCCGTGTGCCTCCCTGCCCGCCACGTCCCTCCCATGCCTGGGGAGCCACGGTCTGGCTGGCACGGAGGCGCACGGGACCCGGAAGGTGGCTTCCTCAGCCTGAGGAACCCGCGAGCACGTAGTTCAGCCTTTGTGTTTTTTAACCGACTCTCGGCCCCTTTCGCGAAGGACGGAGTGTAGCTGCCGGGAGCGCGGTCGTGACCGGTTCCGCCCTTGTTCCCGGGTCACAGTGGCTCCTGAGAAGTGAAATCTTTTTGAATTCAGGATCCGGCTTCTGCTTTTCTTCCTGGCGTTGACCTCCCCGTGCAGAGGGGGCTGGGGAAGCCAAAGGAGCAGCCCCCGTGTCTGAGGGGCTCATCGGGCACAGTGCCCCCCGGGCCCCACGGCCGGGGCCCCACTCAGAGCGGGGGCCTGCGCCCAGAGATCTGAGGATGCCGTCTCGTCAGGCCCTGCATTCCCCCACACCGTCTCCTCGCCGGGGTTCAAGGCGAACCTGTAAGACAGAGTGTACAGATGGTGAGGGAATGTCACCGTCCCAGGGGCTGGGATGTGCCAACCTGAGGACCCACGGTGTTACAGCGGGGCGCCGGGGGCTCAGTCGGTCCAGCGTCCGATTCTTGACTTTGGCTCCGGTTTCGATCCCAGGGTCGTGGGATCGAGCCTCACGTGGGGCTCTGTGCTGAGCGTGGAGACTGCTTGAAATTCTCTCTCTCTCTCTCTCTCTCTCTCTTTCTCTCTCTCTCTCTCTTTCTCCCTCGATCCCTCTCCCCAATTCGGGCTCTCTCTTTCTCCAAAATTTAGAAAAAAACAAACACACACACATCTTACAAGACGCCTACCCAGAAAAGGCCCTTTCATTCTGACATTCCCTTCTCCTTGTGGATGTCGGCTGTGGAGTGGGGGTCGGCCGGGACCCTTCCATCTCCTGCTAGGGAGGGGGACGCAGGCGTGGACCCCCCCCACCTCCTGGCCCAGACTCTAGGACCCTGGCCTTCAGGACGAACAGCCTCAGGTGCCCAGAGCAAAGCCGCCCAGCTTGGATTCTGGCTGCTGTGAGCCCGCCGTGCCTCAGTTTCCACCCTGGTAAAACACCCCAGTGGCGCTGCCTCTGTGAGCGTTAATCCAGTGAGTGTATGTGGGGCGTGTGTGGCCCTGCGTGGACTTGCGGGGTTTGGAGTCTTCCGCCAGCCCGCAGCAAGACGCTGGTTTCTCAGCCCACGGTCAAGGAAACGAGCAGAAGTGAAGAATTTCTTGCAGTCTTGGGACATATTTGGTATGGAGCTTTTTATATATTTGTTTCTTCCTTAGTTGGCCTTTTATGGCCGTGAGGGGGCCGGCGGGGCTGTTCCCTAAAAGGGAGAGACTTTCTCGTTGCATCTCGGCATCTCCTTCTCGCAAAGGGGACCGGAGGAGCTTGGCCGTGACCTTGGCGGGGGTGTGGGCGCCGAGCCTGGCAGGCCCCGGGGATGGGGGGTCGGCGACGGGGGCCTCTCACGGGCTGGGGACTGAACCGCAGAAGGAGGCACCAGCAGGAGAAGGAAGCCCGGAGAAGCAGAGGGAGAGCAGGGCTGGGTACCGGCCCGCTCGGGCCAGTCCGGGCCGGCTCACGTCAGCTGCCAGGCCAGACAGAGGCAGGGGTGCAGCCAGCACCAGGCAGAGGGCGTTGGGGTGCATGTCGCCCAGACTGGGCTCTTTGCTCCCTTGTGGCCTGTGGCCTTGACTGAGTCATCGGGCGGCTTCTGGGCCTCCCGTTGTTTGCAGAAGTAACCGTCTTCCCCAAGGACTATGTACAGCGAGGGGAGCGAGGTCAGAGGGCATTTGTGTTCCGTTCTCTGCAAATTCGGGGGCAGCGGTGACTGGGAGCAGAGCTGTGCCCACTCGGGCCATTCCCTGGGGGGCGGGGGGTGAATGGCCTCCTGCCCGGCGCCCGAGAACACCCCTGGGCCCTGAGGAGCACCAGGAAGGGGATGCGTTACCTTCCACGTGGTGGGCCGTGGGCGCGGACGGGAGTTCGGCTCTGGCACCTGCACACTCCCTGTTTCCGGGACCCTCGCCCTTCCGGGCAGCAGGGGCGGCGGGGGCGGCTGTGGGCGGCGCGGGGCCAGGGCCCTCCGTGCTCCTCCGCCGTTCTCGTTGTCCTTTCCCCTTGTTGGGCTTTTGCACTAACTTCCGAGCGTATCGTGTCTCCATAAGAATCTGGTGTCTATCCGATCACGCAGCGGTAGAGTTCTTTTTTTTTTTTTAATTTTTTTTTAATGTTTTATTTATTTCTAGAAGAGAGAGAGAGAGACAGCGTGAGCAGGGGAGGGTCAGAGAGAGAGGGAGTCACAGACTGAAACAGGCTCCAGGCTCCGAGCTGGCAGTCAGCACAGAGCCCGACGTGGGGCCCGAACCCACGAACCGCGAGATCACGACCCAAGCGAAAGTCGGACGCTTAACTGACTAAGCCACCCAGGCGCCCCCTTTTTTTTTTTCTTAATGCAAGACTGTTCCCCGAGAAAAAATATTAAGGGCACAGAACAAGTAAATGTAGGGGAATTTTTATGCCTCTAGAAAAATACAGCGGCTTTGGTGCGCGTGCTTTTTAGAGCAAGGCAGGAAGGCAGACACTCCTGACCAGTCCCACGCTAAGTACACCTGAGGCTACGGGAGAAGAGGGCCAGGAAGCAGCCCGGGGGGCGGGAAGGTGCCCCAGAGCGGGAGACACGGACATGGGGGCTGGGGTGGTTTTGCAGGAAGGGCCGTTCACGGGTCCGTGGGTTCCGGGAAGAGTCTTTCTGCCTCCGTCTTCCGTTTCAGATGCTCACTTGGCCCGTGAGGCCATGTTGCTGTTTCTAGAGGAACCTGTCAGGGGCGCCCAGAGAGACAGACCTTGTCCCGTGAGCAGTCCGGAACAATCCGCGTGCCACCAACAGAGGAATAGTTAGATCGACTGAGGCACGTTTGTACGTCGCTGTTTAAAAAGATAAAAAGAAGGAGGGAGATGGATAATTTGGGCCGTGGTAGGGTCTCCATGATACATTGCTAAGGGTAAAAACAGACGACGGTTTGTGGAAAGAAAAAGCGGGTCGTACTACACAATTGCGTGGAGATACAGACGTAAGACTGTGAGTTCGTAGAAACACCCCAGAGCGATCAGGTTAGCGAAGCCAAGATTGCACTCGCGTATTTCGTAATTTAGAATCGATAACAATTTTAAAGTCCACAGATGCAACCTGTGAGGACCACGCTGGGTCTGCGGGTCTTCCTCTGCCGACGCGCCTGAGCTCGGAGGGGCCTGCTGCCGACGGGGACCCGGCGTCCGGCACAGGACACCGTCCTCTCCGCCAGAGCCTCACGGCCTGGAGCAGACTTCTCTGCTACAATCATTCCTCAAGAGCAGATAGGAAGGGAGGCCGACCACAGGGCTGGGTGATTTCGTTTTCTCGCTTTATGTGTCCGTGTGTGGGTGCAAGTGTGACTTTAAAAAAAAAAATCAGCCTTTATTATTTTTCCCCAGATGACAAAAGTCCAGTTCATTGTTCCAATTTTGGAAACTATTTTATAATTTAAAAAAAAGTGGAAATAACCTTAACCAGACTACCCAGAAGCAACGAAGACCCTTTCCGGTCCCTTCCAGCCCCGTGCACATGTTTATGGGAGTATGTGTATACACACGCGTGTGTATGTGTGTGTAAGCAACTGAGGTTTTGTGCACAGAGCAAGCTTGCTGTTTCCTTGAGTCACTGGGGTCTGGCTTCTGCGTCCCTCACCGCGGGCCGGGGTCTCATTCCTTTGGCTTTGAACTTCCCTCTACTTTTTTGTACGTCGCTTCCAACGCTGGCAAAGGGGAGGGGGTGCAGCAGATTGAAGCTTAGTGGGAGCGGGCATGGGGACTGTCCCCTTACCTGCGTTGGTGCGGAGGCCCAGGGCCACCCGCGGGGCTGGGTGCACCATGGGGACTCCCCACTGCTTCTCCCAACAGACCCAGGTCAAGGGCCCTGAATTTCACCAGGAAGCAAACCGGGCCCAGGGGGCTGCTCAGCAGGGAGCCTGTGCTCCCCCCCATCACTGGCTTCCCTGTGCTCCCCACCCAGCTGGACGCTCCACGCTCTTCCCTCTGCCGTGGGAAGCGGGCACGCACCTCCTCTGTCACCTCCTCACCTTTACTGAAACATCACCTCCTCACGAGGCTCGGAAGTTGTCACCCCTCGTCCACGCAGGCCCCTGTGTGCTGCCCGTCTCCCCCCGCCCTGCTTTCTCCCACCAGCAGACCTGCTCTACGTTTTCTGGGTTTCTTGCCGGATTCCATCAGAATGACCACAGGCCTGTCTGGGGCGGGGAGGGGGCTCTCTGCGCGTCACATTCACCGCCCACCCCACCCTCCCAGCAGGTGCTCGGGAAACATCTGGCTGAATAAAACATGAGTGGAATTTGGAATGCAGGTGGGCTGGAAATGCGGAAATGGAGCAGGCCGTCAGGCCACCTTCCTTTTAAAGGGGACGTTATCTCAATGTATACATCCTGTAGGCGTCTGTGGCCGGAAAGCTCTCTGAAACTGTCGCTCTGCCTGTTCAGTGTGAGCGCGGTCGGAGTCCCGGGGTCGGGAGCTCAGACTTTGCACCAGATTTTACAGGCGTCCCAACAGGGAGCCATTCATAGGCTGCAACATGATGGTGGAGGGGGAGCAGCCCCCTGCGGCGGGGCCCAGCCTGGGGGCAGTCCCGTCTGCAGGGGGTTTGGTTGGTTGAGGATGAGCCCGCAAGGCGAGCAGAGCATGGGCTTCCCGTGAGGGGGCCGTGTGGACGGAAGGCAGCCCATCCGAGGTGGTCGGAGCCCGATGGGGAGGGCGCCACGTGCCCGAGCCGGGGGCTGAAACTGCACACGTTTGCTTCCGCACAGCTCTGGGGGCTGGACGTCCAGGGTCAGCAGGGGCGGTTCCCCTGAGGCCTCGCTCCACGGCGTGCAGACGGCCGTCTTCTCCGTGGTCATCCCTCTGTGTGGTCTGTGTCCCCGTCTCCTCTTGTAAGGATGCTGGTCGGAGTGGAGAGGCCGCGCCCCTGTGACCTCATTTTAACGTGATCGGCTCTTGTGAGAGGCCCTGTCTGCACACACGGTCTGTCCTGAGGGGCATACGCTCTTGTGGGGCCACAGCCCCCAGCGCCGCCGTGGGAGTGAGCCCGCTGAGCCGTGGGCAGCTCTGGCGGCCGTGGCCACAACCCGGGGCTTTCTCCCGGAGGTTATGCAGGAGGGAACGGAGCCAACAAACTGTGGCACAACCGTGACCTCAGAAGAACCCAGACTGAACTCCATGTTCCCCTGGAGGCCAGATGCCTCTTCGCGGTGGAGAGGGGAGGAATCCAAGGCCACAGAGGGCAGGCGCGTTGAGGGAAGAAACTAGAACTGCCGTCCACGGATCTTGCCAGCGAGACCCACAGTGTGGTCACAAGTTATTTGGTATTTGCTTACAGTTACTTTTCACACTTGGCATTTTGGAGAATACTTCTGAATCTTCTCGCTAATTACTCTGCTCTGTGTGATGTCCGGGGGGCCCCTTCCTGTCCCCCTTTCTGCGATGTGACCGAGTCACCTGTGCGGGCTCAGGAGTCCGTGAGCCAGTGCCAGGGACCTCAGCCGTGGGCCCATCGCAGGGTCCGAGTGTTTCCTTGGAGACCGTCTTCGAGGAGCTGGATAGGGGTCATGGCTGAAGCCGACGTCCCCGGAGCCTGGGACCATGTTTCATAAGCCTTTTCCAGCCGCCGGACGGAAGATCCTGTGACTGTCCGTTTGGGGCCGGGCTGGACTTGAGACCCTGCAGTCAGTTCTGCTGAGCCTGTCAGTTCGCCTGGAATGAACCTCCGTTTGTGACCCAATAACCCCCAACCTCGGGTTCTCATTAGTTCCCTCATTCCTGAGAATTCACTGTGGGTCTGGCGCGTTCTGGATGCTGGAGACCCAAGGATAAGGCATCCTGCCCCAGAGGAGCACACCGTCTCTGGGGGCTGATTCTATCATGTGGGGCAAATTACACTGGGGAGCAGGGACCCCGGGGCAGGGGAGCCCAGGCACATGGGGGACCTGGGGGGCCTTCCGGGGGAGGGACAAGGTGAGCCGAGCTCCACACCCAGTGAGGGGGTGGGGAGCGGGGGGCAGGGACCCTCTGGGCCGGCGAGGCGGGAGGACATAGGACCCCTGAGCCAAGGCAGGGGGGTGGGAGTTGCGCCCTCAGAAGAAGGGCGGCCGCCATCTGCCCAGGGATGCTGAGCAGCTTGGACGGACTTGGAGAAGCATAGCCACAGGGATGTGCGGGGCCCCCATGTGAGAAAATGGGGTGCAAGTGGCTGCGTGTATTTTTGTTTTGCTTTTTTTACCCCCGAAGCAGAGCCGGGAAGACTTTCCCACTTCAGCTGGGTGCCGGGCGACCCCAGGAGCCAGGTCTGTCCCGCTCGCCTCAGCCCTGCTGGCTGGCACTCTGCCATGTCCACCTGTCCCCGTCTGGGCCACCCCCAGGGGTCCCACTCTATCTGAACTCTGTTCCTCACGTTGGCACTTTTGTTAACGTGCTGGTCAGAGATAGGCCGTTTCCCAGCGGGTCCCGCAAGCCGTTGGTGCCCCAGTTCACCTTGTCCGTTCATCCTTCAAGGCTCGTCTGCTTCTGCTCACGGGAGGGCCTGTGACAACTGTCTGTGAAGGGAGCTGGCTCTGGGCGCAGCGCCCCCACCCACCACCCCCAACCTGCTCAGGCGAGGGAGGAAGGCTGTGCTGGGCGGTGGGGGGGGGGGGGGGGCTGGACAGACACGGCGCTGCCGTCACCTGCTCTCTCGTGTAACCTCCAGCCACCCACCAGCCAGTGTTCCCGGGGGCGGTCGTAACGGATGGCTTGGCCTGAGCTCACACCGCCTCACGGTAACGGTCAGGACTGAACCCAGACCCTTTCCACTGCCTCCCAGGAGCTCCGTCAGTCAACGGTTTACCTGTGTGTCAAACACATTAAGTCGAAACGTCATCTGTTTAATCAACAAAAATAGGGGCACATGGGGGGCTCAGTCGGTTAAGCGTCTGGCTTCGGCTCAGGTCATGATCTCACATTTGTGAGTTTGAGCCCCATGTCGGGCTCTGTGCTGACAGCTTCCGATGTTGTGTCTCCCTCTCTCTCTGCCCCTCCCCTGCTCATGCTCTGTTTCTCTCTGTCTCTCAAAAATAAATAAACGTTAAAAAATAATCAACAAAAATAAGGATGATCTGAAGGACACAGGGAAGATAGTTTTAAAACGTTGTGTTCTGTGAAAGCTGGGTCAGGTCAAGAATTTGGGTGATTTGGCCCGTAGTTGCCTATCCCTTTGGCATTTTCCCCTTTGCTTCTAAATATATTTAACATTTTCCTGAAGTTTCAAACCCTTGGGATTGCTGAGCTCACGGACTCATCTGTAATTTGCCACAAGCACTCTGGAATTTCCAGAGCGTCCTGTTATTTTCTTCACGGGCTTTTTTATACCTTGACCTCATCACATCCTGGAAGTTTCTGGGAGTGAACGCCTCGCCCCACCCCACAGCTGTTGCCTGTTTAGAAACTTGCTGTATATTCAGCTCTTGTCAGAATGATCTGGGCGAAAGGTCCGGTATTTCTGGGTGATTCTGGCCACTCCAGAATCTGTTGGTGAGACAGAAGACGAACAGGAGAAGCCTCCGCAGGCGTGACACGTGGGAGGTGATCGCTAGCCCCGCGGGGGGACCAGCCACCCTCCGTCCTGCCGTCACCGTGTCACCCTCCGTACGGTACAAACGATCCTTTCACTAGACGCCAAGAACCTTAGTTATGACACTTTTTGTCATGCTGTTTTCTCTTATTTATACAGTGGAGAGTAGGATGTTTTCAAATAAACCCTCTAAACATGGAATCCTGAAAACGCATTATTTCTGAAATGCCGCACCGTTAACAGCCTCTTAGCGGGTTACATTATAAAGCGTGTTGCAACTGCTAAAAAAAAAAAAAAAAAATCTGAGCCAAAATGTGTTTCCATAGCCCATATGCTGGATTCTGGCATCTTTATACCTTTTTCAAGCTGTCGTCAATTAGTAAAGAAATTAATTCCTGGCTTTACGTCCTTCGTAAAGCTGGGCTCGTCCACGGACGCTGCAGAGGTGCCGCGGAAGGTGGTCTCCTTCGGTGGGAGGTAACTGTGCGCGGCGGACGGGGCACAGAAACACGCTGCTCCGAGCATCCGTGGAAGGAAGCCTGGACCATCAGCAAACACAAGAGGAGGAAATGGCTTTTGTTGAGGGAAACAAACTGTTTATCGGGCCAACAAGCTGTGATCTCGGACTTTCTGCCGTCTGCACCGCGCGTCAAGGCGACGGAGTGGGAGGCGGAGGCAGCGCCCCCTGTCACACGCTGTCCCTGCCCTGGCCGCCCGCAGCCTAGGTCTCACCTGGGTTATGTCGCCCCCGTAGCCCTCGGCCCCATGACTCCGAGTCCCCCTTTGTGCCTACGCTCCACCCCGGGGACCCGCCAGGATGCTTTCAGCACTGGTGGGAGTGCAGAGGCCGATGACCAAACACGTTTTCTTGGTGGCAGCAAAGGGACATTCGGCTGTTAGCTCAAGGACGTGGTCCCTTTACTTTTAACTCATCGCTGGTCTTAGGCTCTCACACCTGGGTACGTGCCGTCACTAACGGGCCTTCTGCTCACTGGAGGTCACGGAGCAGAGAAAGCAAACTGATCTCGAGCAGGAAGGGACTGTGGGGTTGGGGGCATCCTCACCCCAGGAAGGCGCTGAGCTTGAACCCTGGAAGCAGACGGTGCGAACCATCTCGGGAAGGCTGCTGGGACGGGGAGGCTGTGGCTCCATGACGCAGCCCGGCGCCTGGATTATTCTAGGGACCGTTGTTCGGGTCACGTGCGTGTTCTGTGCTTTCTCCCTCCCGGAGGTGGAGGAGGAAACAAAAAATATGTGACTTGAGCTACGCGTTCTTCGGACCAAAGGGAAAGCTTTCCATAGCGTTCTTGCCCGGAAACAAAGTGGGTCTTCCTCCCGTCATAAACAAAGACCCAGCTTTCTGTGCAGACGAGGATGTGCTCAAGCTTGGATTTCCGTACTTTGCTGGCAACCAGATTGTCAATTTGGAAAGCGTTTTTGGTTCTAAGCACGGAGGCTCCCCAAAATAGAACTCTCTAGTTCTTCTGATCTAGAACTACCATTTTGCCAAGTCAGCCCTAACGGTTCTGTAAGCGTCTGTAAAAGATGTTCATCCCCTTGTTACTCGTAATGGCAAAGATCGAGGGCAATCTCAGTGCGTCACCATTGAGAATAGTTAAGTGAGCCTGGATTCTCTCCCCCTGATGGGGTGTCATGCAGTCAGTAGAAATCACAGAGGTTATGCGACAAGGGCACCTGGGTGGCTCAGCCGGTTGAGTGTCCGACTCTTGGTTTCAGCGCAGGTCAGAGCCCAGGATCTTGGGATCGAGCTCCTAAGTTTCTCTCTTCCTCTCTCTCTCTCTCCCAAAACAAAACAAAAAACAACACCCCCCCCAATTACGTAACGACGGGTAGGGGGTTGTTCATATATTAGATATCAAATTACAAATCAGCTCTAGGCCCCCAGCCCCTAGCAGGCATACAGCAGGCATTCAGGCAACATTTAGTTGGTTGAAACGAGCTGCTTTTCTGTCTTCCTGCAGCGGCCCTGTGAGAGAGGGCCTTCAGCACAGTGACCTCGTGACCACCCCACGCCCTTGCACGTGCCCTCCGGGACCCGATGTGGCAATAGTGGGTGTTGACTTGAACAAGGACTCAGATTATACTGCCCACTGTTCTTGCTGGGAGGCACACACGTGACCACCTCCGCCTAAACCTTCTGCCCTTCGTAAGGCACGCGTCCTGGGTGCCGCAGGTCGGGCCTGACCGAGGGCACCCGCTGGGGCGGCTCGCCTCCCAGAGTCCGAGTCTGTAGCTTGATAAAAAGAGCTGTTTAGGCATCATTCCACAATTTGAGGTTTTTCTTTCAGTCTTAGAGGTCTTCCCAAGCCATCGCATCGAGACCGAACCTTAGCAACACTCAATTCTGGTCGGCGAGGGCAGGAGTGGGTTGTTTTTTATTTGTGTGCTTGTTTCATTTCTAATCTCTGCAAGCTCGTGCTTACTGGTCACTGCCTCTATGCGCAGCAGTGACCTGAGCTCTGTGCTGAGGATCTCAGTCAATGTCACCGGTGA